ATTTGACACTCTGGGGTAAATGGAGGAACGTCCCTGTAGCCACAGAGTTACGTGCGGACGGCGACACAGGTGGACAATTCTTATCAGCTGTCCTACTGGTGGCAGAGCACTTATGGTTTATAACCGTGTGCAATGACGCTGGATCCCATCTCCCGACTTTACCTTTACCTACTAAAAATGCAGAATTCTACTCTATGCAAAAATGTTGTAAATTTAAATTTGGCATGGTAAACCATGTGATCATCTTGATCTTTGAAATAATGTATCGAGACAATGTGAGTTGTGTATTTCAGTGAAGAGAATCAGATGTTGTGCTTCATTATATGTTGTGCTAACTCTTTAGTAACATGACGAGATACAGTGAAAAATGAAAGGCAATAAATTGTGCAATGTGCTGTTTGTGTCTGCGTCACTGAACATCATAATGTTCTCTCTGACATGCTGCTACACTGACTTCACGGCAAGCCAACAAGAACACACCTTCGATAATTTGTTAATATGCAGAATTATTGACAAGATAACAACATTTCTCTGACATGCTGCTATACTGACTTTATGACAACCCAACAATTACAAGCTTTCTCTGACATGTTCCAAGTGTAAATTGATGACAACCCAACAACTATAATGTTTCTCTAATATACTCTAAATATAACTTAATGACAACTCAACAATTACAACTTTTCTCTGACATGATCCTACTCTAACTTGATGACGACTCAACAACTACTAGATTTCCCTGATCGTCTGTGACTCTAACTCGATGACAATCCAACAGCTGTAAGCTTTTTCTGACAAGATCCTACTCTAACTTGATGATAGCCCAACAGCTACAACTTTTCCCTGACATGCTGCTACACTAGCTTGATGACAATACAACAACAACTTTTCCATGCCATGCTGCTACTCTAGCTTGATGACAACCAAACTACATGCTTTCTCTGACATTCTCCTACTCTGATCTGATGATAAAGTGACAGCTAACACAGTAATATTATACTCTCCATCCCAATGTGGGACAAATTATTAGTTATTATGATGCCCCATCCTGGTTGTTGCCGGGAGGCCAAACGGTTGAACAGGGTTTTTGGAACCTCTCATCTGGCGATCCTCATCTAAATGGTGGCACTTTGTGTCACCAGGGGTTTATTGTTGAGTGTGCTGGGCTTGCTACAGTAACAAGTACAGCAAACTCACTTGTTGCCACAGTAACAAGTACTGCATACTCACTCGTTGCTACAGTAACAAGTACAGCATACTCACTCGTTGCTACAGTAACAAGTACTGCATACTCACTTGTTGCTACAGTAACAAGTACAGCATACTCTCTTGTTGCCACAGTAACAAGTACAGCAAACTCACTTGTTGCTACAGTAACAAGTACAGCAAACTCACTTGTTGCCACAGTAACAAGTACTGCATACTCACTCGTTGCTACAGTAACAAGTACAGCATACTCACTCGTTGCTACAGTAACAAGTACAGCATACTCACTCGTTGCTACAGTAACAAGTACAGCATACTCACTCGTTGCTACAGTAACAAGTACAGCATACTCACTCGTTGCTACAGTAACAAGTACAGCATACTCACTCGTTGCTACAGTAACAAGTACTGCATACTCACTTGTTGCTACAGTAACAAGTACAGCATACTCTCTTGTTGCCACAGTAACAAGTACAGCATACTCACTTGTTGCCACAGTAACAAGTACAGCAAACTCACTTGTTGCTACAGTAACAAGTACAGCATACTCACTCGTTGCCACAGTAACAAGTACTGCATACTCACTTGTTGCTACAGTAACAAGTACAGCATACTCACTTGTTGCCACAGTAACAAGTCCTGCATACTCACTTGTTGCTACAGTAACAAGTACAGCATACTCACTTGTTGCCACAGTAACAAGTACATTCTCTGTCATGCTGACACACTGACTTGATGCAGGTGAAGATATAATGCTCTTCACTTATTTCATGTTAGTCACCAAACAACCTCAAAATTGTCTTCTTCTTCTTCTGTACTTTCCCTTAATTGGTAGGCTGTGTTGTGGTTTACAGCAAAGGTGTGATATCTGCACCTTTTTGCCCAACACATCCGATTTCAGCAAAACCCTAATTGTAACATCCTTGTAAGGGGGCAGTGGATGCATTACTTTCCCCCAAAATGGGGCGCCGGAACCCACAAGGGGACTATTCCAAATATGAGCAATCAACAAATGCATAAACTAAGCTACAGGTAATTCACACAGATATTAAAATTAGTGAGACATGCAACTGTCTATAAAAATGGCAGTGGTTTCATTAAGCTGCACTAGCGAAAAAAAATCAAAATGCATACCTAGGTAAGTAATACAGGTTCTCATAAGAACTGCAAAGAAATGAACTACTAGGCTGCTAAGGAAACAGCTGCAAGTCTTTATCCAACAAATATTATAAAAGCAATGATTTCAGCAGCTGTCAGCATTCTCGTCACAAGAATGCAATGTTGTAAAAATACATAGCACACAACACATGGATATATTATACAGTTGACATATGTCTAAAAGTGGAGTCCGTGCTGGTCACAGCATCCATGCAAGTAACTGGAATACAAGAAGGTGTATTTTAACATGGCTGAAAGCAAAAGGCTAATTAAAAATATGTTAACAAGTTGCCTGCATATCCTTTATAAGACACTGCAGAACCAACTCAAGCAATTTTTAGCTCTACAAGATAATTTTAAATGCAGTAGTTCGCCACTGCTTTCAGTTATATATATATATATATATATATATACACACTTGTCAAAATTTTGTATTATATCTTATTTCTTGTGTCTGGTTGCTTCTCAGACTAACTAATTATTTTGTTATCTATGGGCAGATTATTTAACCCCAAAGAGTGACACTCAAGATGCCAATCTCAGTTACCTTGTTCAACCTCCTAAGAAGTTATCTTCTTCTTTGCATTCACCAGCTGTAAACTTTGGCGGAAAGTTCTAGTTGTTCGTCCTCCTCTGGACTTTAAACCTGTTCCAGAACCTGAATGTTGCACTCACATCCAAGTTTACAATCTGAATTATTTGTAAGCAGACTGTTGGTTCCTTGCCTCTCAGGCAGATGTACTCCAGCTTCAAAGGAAACCCCAAATTAGTTGACACTTATGACAGGCTTGTTGAGGGAGGCAGTGTGCCTATTCTTGTTTTCCCCACAATGGGGCTCAGAACCCACACAGGAACTTTGAAGTTATAATTAGGGCACCTGTAAGGCTACTTCACTTCCTGATGGCAGTATCGGCTATGGGGCTACCTTACTTTTTTTCTTATTGTTTACAATCAGCAAACAGGTTATGTTCACTGAATCAGCACCAGTATCCCCTGACACCCAATAACAAAGCCATATACTTGCGGTTGTACTTGGAGTGCAGTAATGTTAGTTCAAAGTAATAAATCAGTATCTGACTGTTAGCAACACAATATTTGTTAATGGCTACATACTTAGCTACTAGATTCATATATGGACGGCTACAATAAGTGATATGTCATTTGTTCACAAATTTAAGTATCAATTGTGGTGGTTACGTCACAAAGCACACAGTATAGTTTGTTAACATAGGCCACAATCTAAAGTTAAGAAGTAGGCTTGGCACGTGCCTTTTCATTCAAGCATTAGTCCCTCAGTCCCAGGGTCCTAAACATTTGTTATTTAAAGTAACAAGTTCAAATGATAACAATGAGGGCTAGATGGGCTACAGTAAAAATTTGTTTTAAAAATTGGGTTAATATATCGGATTATACGAAGAATAAAAAGTAAGGAAAGGACCCTTCTTTTTTCTTCACGTTCACCAGCAGTACACTCTGGCGGAAAGTTCTGGTTGTTCCTCCACCTCTGAACTGCAGTCCTGCTCCAGAACTTCAGTGAGGAAAGGACCCTTTTCACGCTAGACTCAAATTTGTATTGAGCGGATGGCACCCAATGGGTGACGTAGTCAACATCACAACCTTACTTCCCATGACACCACTATTTTCTAGGTCACACTGGGTGGAAAGATAACTTCTGCTTGTAAATCCACCCAAAGTTAATGAAAACACAAGACTTTTCCTGTATGAGGGAAAAAGTGTTGAAAAAAAAAGGATGTGAGATAAAATAAGTCAGTAAAGTACCCCTTTTTACGCCAGTGGCCCTTTGGGTATATGATGCTAGACTCATATATATATATATATACCTGGACTAGTCAACTAACTTAGGGGCCAAATTGTTGAAAATGGGAATCATCTCGGCCAGAGGCCAGAATTCCAGGAGGGGGGGGGGGGGGGGGGGATTTATTCATAGGCCATTTGCCAAGCATACCTGGCCTACAGGCTTCTAGCTGAATAGCCCGGTTATTGATCATTCTGCACACCATGGCTGTCACAGTCATCATACTGATTAAAAGTGATTAGTAATTACACAAGCTGCTTGGTACCAAAATAGTTAACTAATTCAGACCAAGCAACTAACCCTGCATTGGTTTCAACTAATTTGTTTACTATTCTAAACATTTAACCCATTCACTTGTTACATTTCTCCGTGTGGGTTCTAGAGCCCTATTATAGGGAAAACAAGAAGAAACCTACTGCCTAACCAAAAGCATGTTATAAGAGTTGACTTACTGGGAGCTTCCTTCAAAGTCGGAGTACATCTGCCTGAGAGGCAAGGAACCAACAGTCTGCATGCAAAGGAGATAAATCAAACGGATGCACACGGAACACTCAGGTTCTGAAACAGGACTGCAGTCCAGAAGTGGACAAACAACCAGAACTTTTCACTGGAGCTTACAGCCGGTGAACACGAAGAAGAAGAACTTGTTGCACTAACCCACTCTGGTCCAAATCTCACTTTAGCTTCTGTTACACACTGCTATTATTTTAACTCCTCAGACCTAAACATCTGTTAGATAATGTAACAACTTCTTAGAACTTAACAAACTGCTGTACTGCATGCTTTGTACAGAAAAAGTTATGTGGGTTACTGTGGCCATTCATGTGTTGGGTCTTGCCTGGTGACCTCTCATTATATGTGAGTAGAAACCATATTTGTTGTGGCACTGCTTGCCACAAACATTGCACATGAACGGGTTAGTGTGGCTGTGACACCCAATATGAATGGAGTACAGCACCTCATCATCGAAGCTTATTCCACAGAAACAACATCGGGTTTCAATATGTGCAGAACCACCAGCACTGCTGACAGTTTCCGACTGAGTCCGGCCCTGCCTGTGAGAGAGACCCGACACTGAGATGATTTCACACTGGATACCTTGGTCAGATCTGCCACGGACAGAATGAGTTAGAAGACTGCAGGACTCTGTATGTGGTGGGAACTCAATCTTAATGAAAGGCACTGAGTACTGAGTGCCAAATGTGGATCCATCTACTTGAGTGGTGATATCTGTGTGGTTTGTTTCGGTGCTGATTCTTTCATCAACTCTGGAGCGCCCACCACCAGCCTGTGGAGAACTGGCAGGATCATCGCTGCTAATATCCATGCCTGACTCGCTGTCAAGGGTCTCAGACTGTCTATGAGGGCTTCGTGCTGACCTTTCTTTCTGGGTACTTGAAGGAGCATCATGGACATTTCTAGCTCCTGATACAAGGTTGGTGGCCACTGCTCTAGGTTCCACCTTAACTTTTCCAAAGGAAGTTCCTGTTAGACTATGATTGCTGTTAATGCAGTTACTGCCAGAGTTCCACAGCTGCCTGTAGTTGTAGGTCTCTTCCACAGCTGGGACACTACTGTTAGATGATAAAGGTGCATGAGATTCTTGTGTGAAATTTCTTGCTGCCTGTAAGAATAAATTTGATGATGTGACACAGCTGTTGTGGTTAGTGTGCGGAGGGGACATAACTCTAAAATTTGCCATATGTTCGGTATCTGACGGTGCATAGTTGCCCAGCATAGCAGTGCCACGAGGTGGATGCTGCAAACCTGCATGAGTGTTCACCTGAATGTGGTGCTCCGGGGGTGCAGGGATATAAGTTGGAAGGCCTAGTGTTGAGGCACTTGATATAGTTGTTGTTGCTGCTGCGGCTCCCACTGGAATATTGATCGGCCTGCTGGTGACTGGATGAAAAATGCTGCCTGTGCCTATGAACATTTGGCCTTGTCCTGGTGGCCGGTGAGCAGACTCTGGCAATGCTGAAGGTGTGTTGAAGTTGTGACTGGAAGTAGTGAACAGGTGAGGGTGTGACAAGTGGTGGCTTGTAACTGTGTGCTCTCTCATTTTGCGAATCTGGGATGTGGAGTAGTTACAGAGGCTGCAATGAATCAAGTTTGGCTGATACTGACGACTGTGAAGCCTCCTGTGTCTTCGGTAGAACCTCTGATTGTTGGTGACAAACCCACACAAACTGCACTTCATCATTTGCTGAGCTGTGGTCACAGAAACAAATTTGGGAAATAGTTATAATAATAAATCTCAGTCCAAACAAAAATTGTATTTACTTCAGTGGAAGAAAACACAGCAGAATTGTAATTCTAATTATACAGAAATAAGGGATGAATAAATGCTGCAGGCTTGACCATCAAATGCATTTTTTTTTAAATGGTGCTTTATTAATATCTTACCCCAAACAAGGAAAATCCAAAGTCACGGGACAGTCTAATATTTCAGGAGGTGGTAGATAGGCTGCATGCTGTTGTGGGACCTAGGCTGCATGCAGTCGTGGAACCTAGGTGGGTTGGGGTTAGGGCCAGTTCCAGATGTTTTGGGGGTCATTAAAAGTATCAAAAAGTGGGAAACCCAGTCTTACCACCCTCTAAAATGTTGGACTGTCCTGTGACGCCATCTGGGGTAGGATATTAATAAAGCACCAAACAAAAAACTTTACAGTCCACGGTGTGCATGTCAGATGGAACCACAAACACATGAGCTAAGGAATCTGTGCTAGGTGATAAAACCTGGTACAATGAAGCTGATCTTCGAGACTTTTAACTCAACTTAATGAAATAAAGAAAGATGTGTATGTGTGTGGAAAGCCCAAATAGCTAGTCAGCAAATAACATAATAAGCAGCAAAACCATCTCCATCAAAGTTTCAAGACAGTGAGGAGCGGACGGACGAATGATAAGCCAACTGGGCACTCACATGGGAGACCCAGGTTCATATCATCTGTAAGCTCACTGAACTGTTCTATCTGGGGCAACAAAACGATCAACAATCAGGCACAATGAGCCCCGCCCCACACCATAATAGTGGTAGAAACAAGTAGTAACTGGCAGTTTGGCAAAGCCAACTCCATCAAAATGTCAGTATAGTAAAACCTGCAAGGCCTAGATTGTCCCTGTATACTTCTGGCCTGACACAATATACAGAAATATGTAATTATAATTTCTTCTAACGAGAAAACAATGACTGTCTACTAATTAATCACCACTCTTCTACCCTGAAGAACAAGGGCAGACTTTCCCCCCATTTCAACAGAGTACCAGAAAATAGAAGTAAATGTCCATTACATGTTTCAAGTATGTCTGTTTTAAAAATGGTGAAGCCATCTGCCTTGTCCACTAAAGATGGTGAGCTCATGTTTTAACTCGGTCAATATGTTCTTGAGGAGTTGCAGTTGCAAAGTGCCCATGCTGCGGTCCAGATTTAATCCTCAGCAATCCACCAATTTTTTTTTTTATACAGAAACCATAAGTTGTTAACCATTTGGCTCGGTATTATGGACATCACAACTATTAGGCCTTTCTGCCAACCTGGATTTGTGAATCCGGACCACAAGTAGTTCGTCACCCGGTCGCCGTTAAGTCAGCTATAACCAACTACGCTAGCGAGCCGGACCATCAATCCCCATACAAATGGGTACCTACAAGAGGGCTTCAAATGCATCACCATAATGGACTTCATGCGCTGGCGAATGTCTACAGGTTTTTCCCCTTTACTAATAAAAAAAAAAAGAATGCTGCTCCTCTTTGGAGCCTGTCACATGTGGGGTGGCCATCTTTGACCTTTCAATTAAGACACCACCACATTTGTCTGCATCATAACATCATGTACTTAACACTCTTGACATCCTTATTGACAAAATAATAATATAATACAATAATAGGTACAAGACAATGGCACGGTTATTGTAATTTCTATTATAGTTTTAAGGTTTCATCTGAATCCCTTTCATAACAAATTTCTGCAAAAGAAAAGCACCAAGGAAGAGAACAAGCAACCTTATCTCAGACAAAGGAAAGGAACTCGTCACTAAACATCACATATACAAAGGCCTAACATATCACACCCCACTGGTAGCTCTGCTATAGGACAACTTATACATTTAACCTGAGTACACTTTTTTTAAAGTGAACAATATAAGTAAAACATAATGCATCCAGTAATGTACAGGCTAATGAGACAACATTCAACAGGATAGCACACAATGACATCTAGTGTAAATTATTTTATGAGGAACAATACCACTGCAGGCAAGGCTTCCATTCAACAATTCAGTTCCCTTCATGTGTCTCAGTTGAACTTAAGACTCCCCTCACTAGGTATACAATCCTAATCTAGCCAGTTCCATACATATTTATTTTATTTTAAAAACATTTAATGTAGGCAGTATTTAGCAAGGTTGTTCGATCATAACTGGCTCTGAAAAGAAGGCTTGGGTCTCTTCATTTTTTATTAATTTAACTTTGCTCCCAGGCCCATTTCAATTTAGTCATTGTTTGTGTCTCTTTTGTTACTGTCCTGTTTTTCTGTGCTGAATGTTTTACGGTAGCTGTAATTTGTTGTGTATCCTTTACAGGACGTTGCAACCCCCGCACGTTTTGGCTGTATTTTGCTGTTGTCTTTTTTATGTTCAGTAAGTCTGCTCAGCACAAAGCAAGGAAACCACATTAAATTCAGGAAAATATGTCTTGATCGTGGTTTAACCCTCTTATAAAGGAGAAACAATGCACCCATTCACTGACATTACCAGAAATCAAATCACTTATCTAGAAGAAATACATGAAATTGTAAAGAGAACAAACCAACAGTTAAAAAAAAAAACAGGACCTCATCAGCAGATTGAGCAGAAAACAATATACAGCAATTTTTCATCTAAGAACAAGACACTGCAGACTTAACTACCACAAGCATAAAATAAAGACTCCAGTCTCACAGTGTGCATGTCAGATAGGATTACAAACATGTGAGCGCATTCTGCAGACCTGCCCACTCTATTTACATCTACAAAGAAAAATCTGACCTCAAGAGCAAACTACAGAGCAAGCTATGGGCAGGACGTGAAACTGACATGTGAGGCAGCCCACCCCTGACAGTCTGATCTGAGCATACAAAACTTAATGCCAAGAAGAAGAAGAACCTTTGGCAACTACACATGCAAGCAAGTGCTCTATTTATGCAGAAACCTATTAATTTTGTAACTGCTAATCCTTGGAAATAATGCTTTTTTTTTTCCTTTTTAAACTTGTGAGTCTGATGCATTTGTCTTCAGAGCTCTTAAAAATATGACGTTCAGGTATCTCCTAACCTGCTACTGAAATACCATATCTAAAGGCAATATAGTGAAGAACTCTTCTCCCTCTCTAAGTTAATAAGTGGGGTGTGCAAGACTGGAACCGAATCTGGTGGAGAGGCATAAATGGATGTAATCATGTCAAGACAGTGCCGTCTGTATCGCCAGGGATTAGGTTAACAGTTTCCGGAAGAGACTGTGTGAAAAATGAAAAGATTAAAAGCATTACCTGGAACAATGCCCATCGTCAAATTCACTGAGAAACAAAGACTGAAATGGTTCGGCCACCTAGCAAGAATGAATTCAACAATGCCAGCAGCGAGAGTCTACAACACAAAATTGGAAACACCAAGAGTTAGATCTAAAATATAATGGATCGAAGGAGTCACTGACAATCCAAGATTTCAAAAATGTATAGCATACCAAGCGACCGAAAACACCCTAAGCATATATAGGCAACAGATGATTAGCATTTCCTACAAAGAATGCAGGTATTTCAATACCAACAAACTTCAACTCAATGCCCAGGGAAATGTGGAGATAAATGCTTACATTCTTCTATATACTATTAACTATAGTTTTCGTTGCAATTAAATTTTAGTCCAGTAGTTCTCAACCTTACTAATGCTGTGACCCTTTTATACAGTTCCTCATCTTGTAGTGACTCCAGCCATAAAATTATTTTTGTTGCTACTTTATAAATTAAACAAATATGTGTTTTCTGATTGGTCTTAGTGACCTTTGCGGAAGGTTCGTTTGACCCCCAAAGGAATCGCGACCCACAGGTTGAGAACCACTGTTCTAGTAAACAATTGTAAGTGCACAACTTACCAGGTGTGAAATCATGAAACTGAATGCTGAAAGTACACTTTGATGGGTCTGGCTGATCATCAACACTAACGACATCTACATTCGGTGAAGATGTACTAGATGTGCCATTCACCGCTCTCTCCGGTGACACCCTGGAGTCATTCGATGGTAGATTGCTACTCTGTAAACTCATCCGTAAGCTGGAGTGATTTCCAAGCCCACGCCATGTTGGAAGACTGAGACCACTATTTCTCAGCACTTCATCTTTCTTCCTGGGACTTGGTGCTAACCGCCCATCTCTTCTGGCATTCTCAGCTCTGTCTGACTGGCGAGATCGTGACATTGCCAGCAGATCAATTTTCTTAATTGGATGCCTGTTTCTAAATGGTGACTGAGGCTGCTGGTGAGATTCTGGCACAGGCGTACAAGGAGGTGCAGAAGCTGTGGTTCGTCCGTCCTCATCTTCATTTGTACATGATTCACCTAAGAAGATTGGGCGACTGGGTGATTGTGTAGGGGATTTCTGTTGAAGCAATGGAAAACCTGAGGCTTGTGGTACAATCAGTTTCTCCACATGCTTTGAAATCAGTGAAGATGCAACTGTGGTTGCATTCTGTGATGAGGAAATGATGCTTCTTGCTGGAGATAGTGTAGTTTGAATTATGAATGGTCGAAACGCTGATGAGGAGGAGCCTGGAAGATGAAGTTCACTGCCTATGTGAATCACCGGAGCTATAGTGCATGCAGGTAGAGGGTTTTTAGGTATTGTCATTCGGGCTAAAGATCCTCCAAAGCCTGCTGCAGGGTCAGCTGCATGGCAAGGTGGTGACAGAGGGGTTGGCAAGCTATCCACAAGAGCCAGGGACTGCTCTGTTGAATGCAGATCTCTACTGGCAATAGACAGACAATCTGCAACAGACTCAACACTGTCAAGATGTTCTGACACAGAGTCCGGCACAGGAGAGATTTCCTGTGGTGACAGCAACTCATCTGCCATGAGGGTGTGACTATTCTAAAAATAAGTAATGAATAAAGATAAAGTTAATATTTCAAACCAATGAAGAATATATATTATTTAAAGATAAAATTCATATTTGCTGCCTCTTTTTCCCTCAAACTGTCCCACTGATATGATGTATTCCAGTTTTCTCCTTATGACCACTATAAAATGTAGATTGTCTCCATATTTCATAGCTATAAAGAAAACATAAATGATACAAATAATATTTTACTACAATAAAATAACATACACAACTATCCAAAATAATGCTTTCCCATTGCGAATTTTCATGTGGACATAATTTATTGCCATGACATATTTTGCTGTACTTCTTTAAGCAATTACTTTACAGTTATGTCCCTTTTATTTAAATTAAATTAATGATCAACAAATTTATAACATCATTTTAAACCATGAAGCATAAGACTGGCCTCCCAGATAACTCCCTTTAAAAACGATAGTTATTTTTTTTTTTTTTTGTAGTCACTTTTTTACATGTTTCTTTTGGAGGAAATCAGTCTATTCACCCCCCACCCCTCCTTTTCCAATAATCATCCATGATATATGGATACTGAACTGATTGGACAGGAATAAACTGTGAGTCTTATGTGACATATAACGGCACAACAGGACAATGAATGAATAACAGGAGGTAGCTTATAATGAGCTGAGCTGATGACAAGGATGAATAAATAAAACAAAACGCAACAAAAAAAGAAACACACAGATAACATGCCAATATTGTTGTCATCAAAATATGTATTAACATAAATTAAAAAAACAAGAAAGCACAAGAAACCAATCTCAATGAAGGGTGCATGGTTATTCACCATATCTATGTATGTGTCTGAATCACACACACATATAACTGAGAGAAACAATACCATATTGTACCTACTACACCAGACGATGACATATGAAAAGCTCAGTTAGTCTTCTTCTTCTTCGATCCTTCTGTCAGAAAACTTATATCAGGAGGCCGGTAGCCTTTATAAAAGCTATCGTGCAATCCATATCCTCTTGTGTACCATACAGTTTTGTCTTCATTGTGGTTGGAACAGGCCAGATTGCGTCTCTGTTGTCAGCATACAGTTGACAGTGTTGGAGCACATGCTCAGCATTTTCGGGTGCCACGCTGCAGGGACACGTCTCCGTATTTTCTACACCGAAAAATTTGAACATATGTTGACGAAATCTGTTGTGCCCTGTCCTTAGTCTGAATATAATAGACTGTCCCTCTCTAGAGAGGCGATGAAGTGAGTCTTGGGGAGAAAATCTGGTGTGGGTATCCAGCCACCTTTCTTGGATACTAGATTGTATTAGTGTTTTCATCTCTTGGTGGGTTAAGTCGCTATTTGGTTGTACCATGTCACTGCCGCTTCTGGCCAATCTGTCCGCTATTCCAGTGCCTTCCAAGCCACAGTGACCTGGAATCCACTGCAGTACAGATTGTTCCACTGAAGAGCCTAAGTAAATCAGCTGTTGCGTCAAGTCTACAAACTGAGTGTCTTTTGGGTTAACAATTGCTTGTAGAACTGACATAGCATCAGTCAGAAAGACCACTCTGCTATATTTGCTGTGCTGTTGTTCATTCAGGAAAGAACATGCCGCTAGAAGTGCTTCTGCCTCTGCTCTGTAATTGGAGGAATATGAACCTGTTGGTACAGCCTGGTTGATTTTTAAACCATTTGGGCATTCTATGTATATTCCTCCTCCTCCGTCTCTTACTGCTCTCTTGGCTGAACCATCTGTATACACTCGAATCCAACTCTGGTGTGGGTAAAGTCTATTGATCTCTCCTTCTGTAGTTGATTTCATATCAGTGCTGCTCATTGATGATTTGGAGGAGACCCCTGTTACAGTGGTTCTGACTGTTGGTAGGCTACCCCTAAGCCAAGCGGGGCAGTCGTTGTAAGGTTTAAGTGGAACATTTGGTATTATGGGAGGGAGTTTAAGGACAGCGAGCTTGGCATTTGCGTTCTTAATAAAGCAAGTTCTCTTTAGTCTAGCCTTCTGGGGTTTCTGTAGTCGGCTGTACATGGGTTGTTCTTGAAAGTGGTGGTATTTGGAGAGCTGGGTGAGGATCTTTGTGTCTCTCTATCTTCCAGATTATGGAGACCAGTAATTGTTTCCATATCTGATATGGGCGTGGAGCGCATTGCCCCTGTCATAATACAGAGAGCATGGTTTTGGATCTTTGAGACTTTCTGAAAATTTGATTTAGCTGCTGTGCCCCAAGCAGCTATTCCATATTCTAGTGTTGGCCTCACATAGCCTGTATAGGTCCTCTTAAGGACATTGAGGTTTGCCCCCCAGTCTGTTCCAGCTAACTTCCTATCAGTTGTGATCTCTTGAGTCCCTTGCTCTGTGTCTTTTCTATCTGTTTTCTCCATGTGAGTCTTGAGTCAAAGGTTACTCCTAAATATGACGGTGAGTCATCATGTATCAGTGCCTGGCTGCCATATCTTTGAAACTTTCTGGGGTTTGGTAGAGAGACTGAAAATGGTGTGTGTGGTTTTGGCCCCATTTACAGGCATGTACCAGCTATTGGACCACCTCTCTAGAGTTCCGAGGGATTCTTGAAGCCTTGTCTGTGCTTTTTCAGTGTCCTCCTCTGAACTCAGTAGCGCCAGATCATCGGCATACATAACGGCTTGAACTCCATTACAGAGGGTTGATTTTATGTCGTTAATGTAAACTAGGAAAAGAATTGGGGACAGAACTCCGCCTTGTGGAACTCCATGTGTCATTGAGACTGATCGGCTCCTTGAACCCTGTATCTTGACTCTTGCAGATCGATTTTCAAGATATTTTACGATCCACCCAAGCATGTGATGGGATATTCCACTTTCAAGTAGCTTTTGTTTCAGCCCATTTTCCCACACTTTGTCGAAGGCCTTTTCCATAATAACCCAAACTGCAATAGTGTGCTTTTTTTCCTGGAATGCATCTTCAATGTGTTGAGCAATAAATGTAATTTGGTCTTCTGTTGATCTACAACGTCGAAAACCTGCCTGTTCCTCCATTAGTTTGACGTTTTTCTCTAGGAACCAGGTCAGTCGGTTGTTCAATAATCTTTCAAATAGTTTGCACAGGCAGCTAGTGAGGCTGATGGGTCTGTAGCTGTCTGCGTTGTTCTTCGGCTTTCCTTGTTTCAGGATTACGAAGATTTCAGACTTCTTCCAGGCTGGAGGAACTATACTAAAAATCCAGCTGGCATTAAAGATGTTTAATAATTTCTTGTTGGCACTTAGACCCATGTGTAGTAACATATCATTCGTGATTTTATCGGGGCCAGGGGCTTGGTTGGATTTCAGCTGGTTGAATCCTGTGTTAAGTTCACTCATTGAGAATTTATCTGTCATGATGCTCTCTGATGGTTTACTCTTGCTGGCCTCCTCGAGTTCTTTTATTCTTTGTACTACCTCATCTTCTCTGGACTTTTCTATATTAATATCACTACCAGATTTAAACTGATTTAAAAGGATATTTGCAGCATCGTTTCCAGATCTGATCTCATTGCCCTCATTTATTACTATTGGATTGGCTTGTTGGGCTTCTCCATTTAGACACTTGACTAGTTTCCAGAGTTTGGACCCATCTTTTTCAAAACTTAGGCTCTTGGTTTTGTCTTGCCAGCTCTTCCTAGTTGCTTGAAGTGTTTCTTTTTTTTAGCTTAGCTTCTGCTGCTTTGTAAGCAATGTTGTTTTCTACCGTTGGGTTGCTTTCTACTCTATCTCTTCTGAGAGAGTTTGGTGGAGGTCTTGAATTTGTTGGGACCAAAATGGGATGTAATCTTTCCTTGAACCCCGAGGTATGGTTTCTTTGGCTGCTTTTAATATAGCTTCTGTAAACTCTTTTACTGATTTAGCAACCTGACTTGATTTGCGGTTTACATTTATCGAGTATACATCAGCAAGGTTAGCAAAACTGTTCCAGTCAGCTTTCTTGTAATTCCAACGAGGGGGCCGCATCGAATGAAGGCCTCTCATATTTAGAACAGAAATCAGGATCGGTCGGTGGTCACTACCTGCTAGTTGGCTGAGCACCATTTTATGTATGTTGCTTGCTAAGTCTAACGTGGCAAATGTTAAGTCTGGGCGGCTGGTTGAAAGCCATCTCCTGGAGAAAAAAGATGGGGAGTCATCTGGTTTGTTGATTAGCTGGAGTCTGGCATGGCCAGTCCTCCACTTCTTCTCCTCTCTCGTTGAGCTGTGAATATCCCCAGCTTGGAGAGCAGCTGTTAAAATCTCCTAGAACAATACAGTTATCTGGGATTCTCATGTTGTACAATGAGAGTTCTTTGCTTGGCGGGCAGTAACAATTGTATAATACAATTTCCTTGCCTGCAATGTTAAGCCTGACACCCATGATCTCAGACTCCTGTTTTGTGTTCACTGTAAGACTAGCTGCTGGGTTGCTGTTTTTTACTAGGATAAGGACTCCTCCCTTGGGACCATTTTCTCTGTCCTGTCTGAAGCACTGGAAGCTTCTAATACAGAATCTGTGCTTTTCTGACAGGTGTGTCTCCTGTATACAGGCAATATCAATATTTCCTTCCGTAAGTTGTTTTGTGAGTGCAGCTTTTTTGTTGCGGACTCCCTCTGCATTCCATTGTAGAATCCTCAGAGCGCACACGTCTTCTTCATCCATCTTGTCCCTCTGATAGATTTATAATCTAGGCTGTTTTTCTAGCTTTGCGAGTGGTGACGTTGTACAGTTGCCACTTTTAAGGTAGGGCTCACCGTGATATGGTTTCACTGAAGTGTTAAAGATTAAACACCACAGTCTTCATTCCTGCTAGGGTTTTCTGACATTCAAGAAGGTATGCGTGACGTCATGTTTGTGGGAAAATATTCTCCCACACTATCTGTGCCTTTCGACCTGGCGTCTCCGTCTTCAACGTGCTTTTATTTTAGGATGTGCTTTCTTAGCCCGTAACCAACGGAGGCCTGACCACCGGGCAGTGGTAGTTTAGTTTCAGAGTATCCTTCTCA